TAATTATAAAAAAAGAAAAGTCAGGGAATGATAGTGATTCTTTTTTCAGGTTGTTTCACAGACAATATTTAGTCTGCCTCAGATGGTGTAAAATATACACATTTGTTAATAAAAGCATTAGATGGTTGCATACAAGCAGTATTATTTTGCTTCCTTGTGAAATTAATTTTACTGACAAATATAGTGTAAAGCTGCTAGTCTATATTAAAAGACATTATAAGAGAGATGTGTATGATATCGTTTGCTTACTGTAAAGATGTTGAAAAAAATGTTCAGTACTTTATGCCTGAGGGCTTCCTTACATTACTCTTTGAGAACTTCGGAAAGCAGATTTCCCTCCCATATTTACACTACCAGTAACTGAATAGTTTTGCCTCTTCTGAATGAAATTTATGACATAGTTATACCACACAGATAATAAAATTATGGTGTGACCTTATTTTCTGGTTTTATATTTTCTTGTGCTTCAATTTCCTTGTCTACTTAAATTAATTTTTTTTCATTGTATATACATTTATAAACAAACATTTCTTTGGAGGAAAAAACTTGATTTACATTAGTAAAACAGTGAATTTTCTGAAATCATATTTAATAAGCCATTGTGTTTTCTAGCATTTGATTTTTAGCAAATTCTCTAATTTTTCTGAACCTTCATATGTTTATTTGCAAAATGGTGGTAACAGTCCTTCAAAGAGTTGTGAGGACTGAATAAATGAGCAAATCTAAAGCATTTAATGTATCAGCATTCAATTGGCCTTAACTATTAGTTAAATGTGGAAAATGGTTGACTGTAGAAAAGGAATGTTGAGGGTAAGAATCATGGAGCCAGAATTCAATACAAGGTGTTAGTCTCCAAAGCTCTGCTGTAAATTAGTGTGATTTATCTTCAGGTCCTCAGTCAGAGTTATGACAAAGTCTTATAGAGCCTTCTTACAATTAGGCCAGTCCTTATACCAATATTCTATAAATCCTTTAGGACGCAACCAACATACATATATTTACAAACAAAATTTCCATAGGTAGGACCATCATATTCCCTACTAAAATCATTTTGTTTCTCAACACTTCTATACAAAGGCCCTTTGGTTCTGCTAAAAGTGTTTTGGCTTTTAGGTCCCCAGATATAATTTTATACCATGTACATAATGAAGGAGTTAAAGGTAAATAAAACTAGGAGCAGCTGTTCAAAGAAGGTATTTGCTTGGAAATGTTCAGTGCCTGATAGGAAAACTAAATCAGGAACATAAAGGAGTAGATTCCTGGGGGAGGGAGGGGGTTAAAAAATAAACTTGATGACCACTATCTATCAAAGTTTATTTTACCTTAGAGTTGAAAAACATAAAACTAGGGGATATTTTGACATAATTCACATATCTTGATAATGGAGTATTAAAATCCATTAGAAAAGCCACATAAAGGGGATGTCTACCTTTGGAGCTTAGCTAGTTATATTAGAAGAAAGAAATAGTTTTCAGTAGAAATGACCCAGAGTTTGTCTTTTCTGAAAGACTGCACATATTGATTTTACCTTAGATCTTAGATCTTAGGAGTTCTTAAATTGCTAGCTATAGGTATGGTGTATTGAGGATCTGACAAGCCAAAAACACCTAGTCAAAGGTCACAAATGTGTAGACATTCTGAACCTCCCTGCCTATGGTGGTATCAATGACCTAAACTACTGATTTGTTCATGGGAATTACTGGTGCATGAGATATTTCCTTGGGTGAAATTGAGAGGACCAGTCTCAGGGTCCAGTTAGGAGGTGGCTCAAAGATCTATGAGGCTGACTGAAAGGCACAATCTATCCAGTTACCAAAAAGGGAAAAAACAAAGGAATATGTTCTATTTTTAGGGAGGCTTAGGTTAACAGTTTTGACAGTCTTTTTACAGGTATATTAACTGGTACTTCAATAAAAGTGTGGCTTATTGTGATAATTATAATTGTAAATTTGCAGTTCAGGAATGGCTATAAGAGAATAATAAGGGCATGTTTTAAAACAAACATACTAGTATTTCCATATCCAGTTGAAACCTTTTAAAAATATTTAGAGTAACTTTATATTTTTTATACAGTTGCTACCACCCTCAAAATATGTTGGAAACATTCCCTTTAAAAGCAACTTGAAATCATTTATGAAAATAATCATTATATTTATCCCAACTTTTTTAAAAGAATTATTTAATTTTATTTACTATTAATTTGCTATAGGGCATGTGTGCTCATGAAAGAGAGAGAGAGAGAGAGAGAGAGAGACCAGGTCCAGTACATAAACCATGGTCAGCCATGTGGGAGTACAACACCTTAACTACCATGCCACCTGCTTGCTCTGGTTACCTTAATTATTAAAATTTATATTCTTTGGTAGATCTGATTCTTACTTTAATTAGTGTTTTTTAAGAATAATTATTTATTTTTATTATTATTTTTTTAAATTTGCTATAGGACACATGTGCTTACCAGAAACAGAAGGGAAGGTAAGCAAGTAAATTGCTAAGTCCAGGACTCAAACCACAGTCTGCCATACGGGATTCCAGTGCTCAACCATCACGCCACCTGCTGGCCCCTTCAATTAGTTTTAATGCAAGTCTGCTTATAAATACATTTCTCAAACTATATGGTATTTTCACATCACAAAATACTAGGTATGCAGATGCATGTAATCCGAATGTGTTTTGTGTTAAAGTTGGCATTTTGGATGGCCAAATACTCTATAGTTCCTCGTTAAAGGATTATCTGTCCTTGCCTTGTTGAACATTGGAGTAGCCTAAGGTTTTTGTTTCCACCAAAAAATGTAGGTGGAATTTAAATCTATCCCCTCAAGTCAAAAGCTTAAGAGCGGACATGCAATTCATCAGGTCTGGACATTAGGTTATGAGACGAGATTCAAGGCAGTTTTTCCTATCAGCATTGGTCCAGAGCAGAATCGCAGGTCATAACAAACCTGTGACATGAGTGAGAAATAAATTATTCTTGTTATTTATTTATTTAGCTTTAGAGCACGCACAAGTGGTTCCAGGGAGGAAGACAGAGAGAGTGAGAGGAAAAGAGAGAAATCACTCCTGGGGAGATGGCCACATTCTCCTGCTGGGATCCTCGGCATGCATGCAAACATGCGCCCGGCATGATTTTCAAGACCCTGGCTCTGGGACTTCAACCGTGGTCAGCCATGTGGAACTCCAGCCATAAAACTGCTATGCCATCTGCTTGCCCTGAGAAATAAATTCGTGTAGTACCCTAATGTGAATCGGAGAGGGCCTGTTAACTCTGTTCCATATCCAGTTGAAACCTTTTAAAAATATTTAGAGTAACTTTATATTTTTTATACAGTTGCTACCACCCTCAAAATATGTTGGAAACATTCCCTTTAAAAGCAACTTGAAATCATTTATGAAAATAATCATTATATTTATCCCAACTTTTTTAAAAGAATTATTTAATTTTATTTACTATTAATTTGCTATAGGGCATGTGTGCTCATGAAAGAGAGAGAGAGAGAGAGAGAGAGAGACCAGGTCCAGTACATAAACCATGGTCAGCCATGTGGGAGTACAACACCTTAACTACCATGCCACCTGCTTGCTCTGGTTACCTTAATTATTAAAATTTATATTCTTTGGTAGATCTGATTCTTACTTTAATTAGTGTTTTTTAAGAATAATTATTTATTTTTATTATTATTTTTTTAAATTTGCTATAGGACACATGTGCTTACCAGAAACAGAAGGGAAGGTAAGCAAGTAAATTGCTAAGTCCAGGACTCAAACCACAGTCTGCCATACGGGATTCCAGTGCTCAACCATCACGCCACCTGCTGGCCCCTTCAATTAGTTTTAATGCAAGTCTGCTTATAAATACATTTCTCAAACTATATGGTATTTTCACATCACAAAATACTAGGTATGCAGATGCATGTAATCCGAATGTGTTTTGTGTTAAAGTTGGCATTTTGGATGGCCAAATACTCTATAGTTCCTCGTTAAAGGATTATCTGTCCTTGCCTTGTTGAACATTGGAGTAGCCTAAGGTTTTTGTTTCCACCAAAAAATGTAGGTGGAATTTAAATCTATCCCCTCAAGTCAAAAGCTTAAGAGCGGACATGCAATTCATCAGGTCTGGACATTAGGTTATGAGACGAGATTCAAGGCAGTTTTTCCTATCAGCATTGGTCCAGAGCAGAATCGCAGGTCATAACAAACCTGTGACATGAGTGAGAAATAAATTATTCTTGTTATTTATTTATTTAGCTTTAGAGCACGCACAAGTGGTTCCAGGGAGGAAGACAGAGAGAGTGAGAGGAAAAGAGAGAAATCACTCCTGGGGAGATGGCCACATTCTCCTGCTGGGATCCTCGGCATGCATGCAAACATGCGCCCGGCATGATTTTCAAGACCCTGGCTCTGGGACTTCAACCGTGGTCAGCCATGTGGAACTCCAGCCATAAAACTGCTATGCCATCTGCTTGCCCTGAGAAATAAATTCGTGTAGTACCCTAATGTGAATCGGAGAGGGCCTGTTAACTCTGCATGAACTCCCCACTGACATACACAGTTAAAATACCTCCCTGGTCCCGTCAACAACGGCGGCGTGACCCAGGCTTTTCCTGAGTCTCTGATTTTTAGAATGTGAACAACTGAAGCTCAATGAGGTCAAGTAATCTGTTCAGGGATAATGAGGTTAGTCTTGCAAATAGGTGTGTCTGACTCCAAAGTCTATGCACTTATTTGACTTCTTTACTCTCACATACATCAACTATACTGCTTTCATGATTATTTCTACCTCTCATTCTACAGCAAATAAATAAATAAATTTTGAAGTTCACAAGTTTATAAAATATCTAATCAAAGGAGATATTTTACCTTACATAGAAGTTGTTAAAATATAGTCCCTTTTTGACATATTTCTCCAGAAATCATATAAAAATACATGTATCAATATATAATTCTAAAGTCGATTTATTTATTTTTTTCTGAGACACATACAGGCACCCTGCCACATTCTTCACAACACGGCCCATCTCTAGCCTCAGTCAGCATGGATCAATGGGTGCATGTGTCTGCTTGGTGGGTACAGGGAGACCTCAGGACGTGAACCTGGCACCCTCCTCTGTGAGTTCGACATTATAGGGCATCGGGTTAGTACAACACCGCCCTCTGGCCCAATGTCATAGTCTTTAGATTTATGAACACATTTAGTCTGTACCACTTTGAAAGTGTTTTAGATCACATTTATTGTTTTGCATATAATAACTCAGACATTTATTAATATTTTAAAAAACTCAACACAAAGTAATAAATTCAGCTTCCTTTCCCCACAAAAATGGGAAATATGTCTTAGTAAAGGAAAATTTTAATTATTTTTACACACCAGTTGGTTGTTGGGACTTACAGTTCCTTGAAATATGACATCAGCAAAAATAATCAACCTTAACCAATTAGTACGTATAAGAAAAGTTTACAGTACTGTAGTAAGCAGGAAACAAAAAGTGATCATATAACGCCTTGCTTTAAAGTAACTTTCAAACAGATAAACTAATACAGTACACTTCATCCCAACAACTCAGAGCCTATTAATAGAGCACTTCTATACAAAAAAATATAACAAAATGATACATTTAATGCAACAACAAATTAAAGGTTGTCATAATATATGTAACTTAAATACCCCACCCCCATTTACATAGTGGCTTCTTATTCCTTAAACATAGAAATTCTGCTCTTCACTGTAGAAAGACGAAGTCCTCTCATCAAAAGGCACGCTTATCTGGAAGAAAAAAAACAACTATAAATGCCTCTTCTGGAACATGTTTAAATACATTTTATAATACTCAGAAAGATTTGAGGGAAGAAAGACTATAATTAAAGTATTGAGTCATAAATAATTTTTTTTTTGGAGAGGTTTTTGCTATGGGGGAGGGGTGTACTTGCCAGACAGAGAGAGACGGAGAGACAGAAAATGAGAAATCACCCCCTCAGGGGGATGGCCACACCGCAATCCCTTCTCCATTCTCCTCTCAGGATCTTGGGCACGCACGCACACACACTCGGTGTGAGTTTTAAGCCATGGGGTCCGGGACTCGAACCGTGGTCGACTACATGGGAGTCCAGCGACATAGCCATTATGCTAACTGCTGGTCCCTAATCATAAATAATTATAATGAAGGATACCGATAAAAGAAATGACTGTTTTGTCTATATTAATTATTTCAGATATTGTCTTTTGAATTATAATTCTAACTTTTCATAGGTAATCTATATATAAGTACTGTGAGAGTTAAGGTCTATGTCACATTCAAATAAAGGTATACTCTTATAATATTCATATATGACTAACTTAAATATGCAATAGATACTACTATAGTTTCTGTAATGCAATCCTTTAACTGACTAAACACTTAGACATGAGAATTAATTGAAACTAGAGGCCTATAAATATACTTTGTGAAATAAAATATGCTTCAGACATTTATAACATGCTAACAACAATTATCTGTAGGGGAGACAGGCTTTTGGTAAACACATACAATGGGGAAAGTTTGCCCATTTTTTTTCTCTTACTGACTAGCTTATGATAATATAAAGTTATATCTTCATCACACACATTTTTATAGACCTTTATTCTATTTATGCAACTTTTTTTTTTTAGAGTTTTTTGTAACAGGGCACATGCACTTGCCTAGGAGAGAGAGAGAGACAGAGACAGTGCGAGGCAAAGTGAGAAATCACCTCCCAGGGAAGATGGCCATGCTGCAATCCCTTCTCCATTCTCCTCCTGGGATCTGGGGCACATATGCACATGCATCTGGCATGATTTTCAAGCCACCATGTCTGGGACTCAAACTGCAGTCAGCCATGTGAGAGTCCAGCGACATCACTTTGTCTTCTGCTGGCCCCCTATTTATGCAACTTTATCATTATTTAACCTAAATCCTGGCTTCTAAGAAATTTCTGGTTTTAAAAACCATCATAATCAAAAATATTTAGTTAATCCAAAGGAATAGTCAAAGGTGTACACATTTTACTAAATTTATAAATCCTCCTTTATATTATAATCATCAATACTATTTAGAACTTCATTGGAGATATGACTGAGGATGAATGATGTTCTTTTTCATTCTGTTGTTTTATTTGAATTTTAAACAATTTATAACATATCTCCAAATGCTCCAAATGATTAGTTTAAGTTAGTGATCTAACATATTTTGAAAGTAAATTTAAGCTTTTAAAAAACATGTCGATGGTTATAAAAAAAGCTATAGTTAGATTCCATTTTCACTCAATTCTAGTCCTTTTAATGTTGAAAGGCATGATTATTATAATAATGAATTTATGTATTAGGGAAAAAACCCAATTTATAGAATCGAAATTTCCTTTTCATATAGGAGGAAAATAAAACAAAATGAACTGAAACTAATCTGAAATCTATCACTAAACTGTGTTTGAATTTGGACCACTTATGAAAACCTAAGGAATACGAACCAGTAGATGTCATAATGGTTACGACTCTGGATTCCATGTAGCTGACTGCAGTTCGAGTCTTGGACCTGGTAGCTTCAAACTCATGCTGGGCACATGTGTGTGCGTGCCCAAGATCCGAAGAGAAGAGAGGAGAAGAAACTGTGGCATGGCCACTCCCCCTGGAGGGGGGGGGGTGATTTCTCATTTTCTGTTTCTGTCTCTCTAATGAGCACATGTGCCCAATAGCAAAAATCTCTCTTAAAAAAAAAAAAAGAAAATCTAAGGAATATCAAGCAAAGACTGCCACAAGGTGAACCTTTTCTGATAGAGAAATACCTGTCACATGAACAATGTCTTAATGCACGGCCTCAGAAATACATGTTAAGTCTCACAATTAACCTCAGAACATATGTGAATAAGCAGAACTGTCAGTAATGATGTCATATTACATCATGTCTAACAATTTCTTGAATGTAGTTATATATTTTACAAGACTGTATGACCAATCCTCCCACTTAAGAGAATTATATTTCTAGAGTGGGGAAGTTAGGACTTCCTCAGAATTCCAACTGGGTATTTCCAACCTGTCTAGTAGCTACTGTGTGCTACGTAGAACCGCCATTCCCCAACCCCTGCTCACCATGACTAAACTATAGGCCTAATACTGAGGACATTCTTCACGCACATCTCCTGTAGAAAATATTTTTAACCCATCATCTTCCAGCCTGAAGCCTAATCTTTGATTATATCCTTTTAATTCAAATAATGACAATATCACTTACAAAATCATCATTCTAGTGGGATGTGGGCTTACCTCTAACTACTTCTCATGTCCTGAGTGGTGTGTAGCACTTTTATCTTGTTTGTCCATCTGTCCTTCTTCCTTCCTTATTTTAAAATTTAAAAAGTCCTTATTTATTTCTTGCATGAGTGAGCCAGAGAGAAAGAAAGAGAACTACACAGACAGGGACTCTTTATTTTCTGTTGGAGAGGTTTTTGCCATAGGGCGCGTGAGCTCGCCAGAAAGACAGAGAGAGACAGAGAGACAGAAAGCGAGAAATCAGCCCCCTGGGGGTATGGCCATTGCTGCAATTCCGTCTCTTCCATTCTTCTCTCGGGATCTTGGGCATGCACGCACACGCGCCCGGTGTGAGTTTAAGCTACCGGGTCTGGGACTTGAACCACGGTCGACTACATGGGAGTCCAGTGACATAGTTGGCCATTATGCCAACTGCTGGTCCCTGACAGACAGGGACTCTTGACACAATCTTCAGCCAGGTCAGCATGTGCAGGGAGGCCACGGGACCTGAATGCAGGACCTTTCCACATGGATCCAACTGTATTACTGTGCCAGTGTCTAGTTTCTGGTCAAGGTTTTTAAATTTCTTCAATGCTTAAACTAGCTTCCATCTGTACTTTGGTACTTCTCACCTTAATAACTGAAACCCTCTCAAAATATTGGACTCTAGTTTTTTTCAAACTCTAATTCATCTTCACAAAGTCACCAGAATCATCTTCTAGAACATAGCTGTGATAGTATCACTCCTTTACTCAAAAGCATTTGATGATCTCTGAATAGTTTCACAATGAAAAATCTGCATCCTCAGTTTTTCTTATATACACACACACGCACACACATATATATGTAAGCACACATCCTACTAGAATGATGATATAATATATACATATAATATTATCATGTTACAATATATGTAATATTATAATATATAATATTATCATGTATATATTACATCATGACTTTCCTGACTTGGCTCTAATTCTGACAAATTTCTCATGACTCCACCATATACCCCATAACCTAGAGACACTTACCATGCATACCTTCTTATACAGGGCCATATCTTGGCTCATGCTTTCAACTTTGTTTGACATGCAACTTTCCCTCCTTCCTATGTTTTTATTTGCTTATCATACATATTTTTAAAAATTATTTTATTTAACTTTTATTATCATCATTATTTTCCAATTTGATCAGAGAGAGAGAGAGAGAGAGAGAAAGCAAGCCACCAGGTCCGAGACTTGAACTGTGGTTGGCCATGTGGGAGTCCAACGCCCTTAACCACCATGCCACTTGCCGGCCCCTATCGTACATATTTTTTTAAAAATAACTACAACCCAACTATTACATCCTCTGTGAAACCTAGGTTGCTACTCAGGTGCTCCTTCTCTGGGAACTTGGAGCAGTTTGAAAAAATGTGGAACATTATCATGGCATGGGAAAAATAGCCAAGGTATCTTTTTAAAAAAATTTTTCATTTATTAATTCATTTATTTTTACTTATTTACTTATTTATTTAAAACTTGACTAGAGAGGGACAGAGTGACAGAGAGAGGGAAAGTGAGAAATCAAGCTGCCAGGTCTGGGACTTGAACCATGGCTGTCCATGTGGGAATCCAGTCACCTTAACCACCACGCCACATGCTGGCCCCAATAGCCAAGATATCTTAAGACACATATTTTTTCCCATTTTAACATCTGTGAACTTGGGAGGCATCTTCTTTTGGATAGCATCTAACAACTGCTGTCAGACAAGTGGGGGTTCTTACGTAGTTACGTCTGTGTGTGCACAAAGTTGGTCAAAGCTCTCTGTACTGTCACTTCCTCTGCCGTGTATGCACTGTCAGCATTACCAGATTAAGTTCAATGATGTTTCAAATACCTTCCAAAGTATTCTGTCACGAATCTCACTGGAATAAAAGCTACTGCTTATGTAAAAATAGACATGAAAGAGAACAGTAAGCTATAAATATTTATCACTGGAACAACAGCATCAATTCTATTTTTGACAACAAACAAACTGGCCTCTAAAAAGGGAAGATACTTCAACAGATGAAACTCTGCTCACTGCTGTTCCGACAGAGTACTTACACTCTTAAGAGCTCCAACCGCAAGCGGAAGTTGCCAAATTTTTCAGAAGGGATGAGAGATGTAAAACTATCAGCAGGCTAGTATAAATGACTCCTGCATCACTTAAAACTATCATTACATCACTCTATAAGTTGGCATTTATTTATTTTTTTCTTTCCTAGTGATCAGCTTAAAATAAGTGTTATAGATGAAATAAATAATCATGCAAGTCTCCACAGACACAGATCAAATTGCAGTTAAGGGGGAATAATTTGGAATCATTTTATTAACAGTGTCTAAATCCTGAATGGACACTTTAAGCTGGAAATAGTGGAACTAATAAATATTAGTAAATACAAGTTCTTTACAATTAACATATAAGATGCAGAAATATTAAATATATTATGTCCTTGCTCAACCATATTCTATGGTAGTAA